ACCCCACACCAAAAATAGTGCCGACAAACTTATAAACTATTTATCGTGCCAAAATTGAGGTCCGAGGAGCCATCTGACTAATTCCAACCGCTTAATTAAATTGCATTAGTTCTGCTAAAGTAATGCAATATCAGTTGGACCCGTTATATTGGCAGTTAAGCCTTACATTTCCTGTTAGTTTACCTAACTAATTTATAGTAAATTATTTCCCATCCGGAACCACTGACTCCATATAATACCTTCTAGATAAAAGCTGAGATACGCCTTCAGAAAAATAGTCCCATTATTGCCAGAAAGCCACATCCAAATGCAATGGATTTATTTTCTTATCTAATTTCTATAAATTTTAAACATTTGAAAATCAAATTTTCGGTAAACTTTTTTGTGTGGTCACTTCGTTTTCTTTAATTTTAAATTATGTGAGTCAACTCTCTCTCTCAATTTAAAAAAAAATTAAATTAACGGAAGATTTACATACATACCACTCAATTTCTATGCTTTTACATATCTAAAACCTGAAAGACTTTAGAGTTAAAAATATAAAAAAAGTTAACTAAGCTTTAGATATATAGATGTATAAGGATCCGGTGCTTTTTTTAATTATACGAAATCCATGTCTCACCTGGCAAGCTAAAACTAAAAAAAGCTAGAAGGTCAAGGAGTCATATGCCACAGCGCTGCTTCGCCTTCTCAGAAGTGTCCCGCCAAATCCACCGTTCCCATTTTCTCCACGCAAAATCATAAAAAAACTTACTTTCTATATAAATCCCCACCAAATACATAATCTCCCATCAAATTAACATTATAACTCAAATCAGTTAATGCCTTCGCCATGGATCCCTCTACTGATATCTCCCCAACGCCATCCTCACACTCCAACATCCTTCTCCCTCTAAAAGTCGTCGGCATCTTAGCCGGCGTTCCCGTGTTGCTAATGGGCTTCCATTTTCTGCTTAAAAAGCTTCGCCGTGGGGGACCCGACACTTCGCCGGCGCCGGGGAAGTTCGCCGGAGATGATGTGAAGAAGGTTCTAAGCTCCATTCCTGTTCTGCGCTACACAAAGAACGAGCTTTCTCTGATGCAAATTAATTATTCCGAGTGCTCTGTTTGCCTCTTGGGGATTGAAGAAGGAGAAAAAGTTCGAATTTTGCCGGGCTGCGGCCATGGGTTTCACGCTCGGTGTATCGGAGCTTGGCTTCGGAAACGACTGAGCTGTCCTGTTTGTCGTTCGGCTGTCACGGCGCCGCCGGTGTGTGTGGAGATGCCTTTAGGCTTGGAGGAAGGGGGCGGCGGCGATGCTGCGGCTACCGGAAAGCGTGAGGATGGTTGTAGCCTTCCGGTGTGATGATATCAATAGAATGCTGTTGATGCATGATATTTTTGTAAATGAATACATTTTTCTCGAAATTGTAAGATTTTAAGGTTGATCAAAGATGATATTTTTAAATATCTTATGGTAGAGCTCTGCATCAGTGAAAATGGTGACGGATTCTTGACTTCTAACATAATCTGATGACATGTGAAATTGTTGAGTGTTTGAAAGTTCATTCAGTACCTAATCCTGCTGTGTCATCAGGGGCGTGCATTGTTTAATTAAAACGAAAAACGTAAATTGAATCGAGAACATTAGATGAGTTGAATGGATTAATTTTAAAAAATTAATTTATTTTTTTTTAATTTTGGATTTTGATTTAATTTAATTTGACTAATTTGTGAACTGGTTTATCTGAATTAAATGTTTGCACACTCCTGCCTTTCAGTTTTCTTCCATTCTTATGTTGTCCCAAATAAATTTTTTAGCTTACTAATTATTTAACAACTTTGCTCTTGTTATTTTGACCCCCAATTAATGAACTAAGGTAAAAGGGCAATTTTGTAATGTGACACCGCCACCTACCACATCTCAC